TAGGAAATTCCAAGAAATGTTTGGCTGTGGAAAAGCTATCACGTAACAATGGATCTGGACAATTTGACCAGGCGAATAATATGATTCTATCCCTTTAAATAGTAACGTCGGTTTGGCTAAAATAAAGAAATAATTCAAAAAATTATTAAACAAAAAAAAAAAGAAAATATTATGAAAAATATTAAAAATTATAAGAATTTACATAATTTTAATTACCTAATACAGACAATGTAAAATTGAGAGACTTATTTGTGTAATCGTTGGTAGCCTCAAGCGTATAGACTCCCATATCCTCGATTTCCAATCGATTAATTCTTAAAATCGTTTTCGTTGGAGTTTTGTTGATAGCGTATTTAGTTATCTCTGGATTCGACCAATCATCCGTGATCTCATGGCCATTATGATGAAACCTTTTTCGCAAGAATTTAACGTAACGAGTTGTATCGATGTTGAAGAAAATATAGAAAATCAAAAGATGACGTACCATCTCAATTGGGCTTCAGGATAGGCATCATAGTAAACGACCCACATTACTTTACTATTATTTTTTATCACATTACGCCTAATTGGATCTTGTGAAGTTAAATTGATATACTTTTTGGTCGGATCTGCAAGTTATATCACCTATATACTTACTTTAGCATACGTTTCTTAAGTAAACCATTAGTTTACAGCAAAACATGAGGCGAGGTGAGATTCGAGATATTTTTCATTTATTTATATTTTACTTTAGTAAAATCAAAAAGAAAAAGGAAAACTTACCATGTATCGTTAGATTTATCTTCGCACTATTAGTACCTCCATTAACTATAATGATACATTCATACTCCCTCTCATCCTCTTCTGATACGTTTTGTATGATCAATTCACTGGTCACGTGCATTAAATTCAATTTTGTTTCTGTGGGATATAAATGTGTGCTTATTCGTTGACTCTGAAACAACAAAAATTTTTAAATCGAGTTCTTTTTATTTTAATAAAGAATAAGAAACCTAATAAACAAACCTCTACGGGTATTTTCCAATATAATTGAAATGGACCGGAACGCTCTTTCAAATCTATCGTACAATTAACACGCAAAGTTTGGCCACGGACCACGTGCCGCAAAGTATCTTTGACAATTTTTGGCTCACTCAATTCTTGTTTGGCTAGTGCAAAAACCCACTTTAGTTTTTAATATATAATATATAATATATATTATATATATTTTTTTTATTCATTAATTTCATAGTCTTATCTCTCCAAAGTTAAATCGATCAATTCGATAAAATAAAAAATATGAATTATTGATGACATTCAACAATGATCGTTTGATTATATGGTAAAAATAAAAAAAAATAAAAAAAAATAAAAAAAATAAAAAAAAATAAAAAAAATAAAAAGAATTAGACATATCGAATTAATATTGTACAAGAGGATATCATAATGTGTCTCGATACTTACAAAACACATCTAAATGATAATTGACCTCGTATGTTTCATTGTTCCTCGTAATCGAGCATCTAAAAAGGCCGTTGTCGTGGAGACTAAGATGATCTATCGTATATCCAAATCTCGGATCATACGAGATATACTTGCCTACTTCGACCACCTATGTTTAAGAAATAAGAAATTAATCGGTTATACAATTGCAATTTTCTCAATCTATATTTCATCTTTCAAATTTAATTTATAGATTAAAGAAATACAAAAGAGTAATTCTTACATCGTCGTACTGATCAATCAAAATAACTTTCAACGTTGGCAAAGTTGGTCGACATGGTATTAGAGCCATATTACCAGTTATTCCTTTAATAGTTTTGACTACATTTTCGACGAAAAAACTATCAGGTGCTAAAATATAATCGAAATAATAATAGAAGAATAATATAAAAACAAATTATCAATATGTATTTAACATCTGCCGAGTATTTACTTACAATCCACATAAACGTAAGCCCAATTAATCTCAGGATTATCGTATTCCTTTCGAGTGATCGTTATGTTGTGATAAGAACAACCATACCATCCCGTATCACCAGGGACGGCTTTGGGTCGACGAAAAATGTATGTGTATTCATCATCTTTATTGATCTCTTTTACTTGTATTTCCGAAGATATGATCTATTGAACATAAGCGCTCGACTTTATACGAAAACTTTTTATTAAAGTTGCAAAATACATATGGATGTATTTTTATTGTATTTAAGAAGAAATAATAAAAGACTAAAAAGAGAAAAACCTGTTCGGATGATACTTCGTCTGACCCATAATTCGTAGGAAAGAAAAAAAAGATCTTCTTAGAGCCTGTGCATGTAAAATTTATAGAAGAGCCAGCTTGTTTAATAATCTCACTTTCTTCTGGAATAAGTATAGGTTTTTCTTGGCATGACACTGTAAAAAAAAGATAAGATGCGATAATAATCACTAACCTTTCAACAAGAATATTTTTCACTTTAGAACATTTATTCGTATGTTTTAGACATTGTATGTATTTATATCTTTGCTTTCAATGTAACAAACGTTTCAAAAGTTCATATAAAAAGAAAATTTATATAAAACAAAGAAACGAAAATGATCAAAATGGTCCTAGAAAATTTAAAGTAAACCCTTTATTTACAGCAAAACATAAAGCAATATGAAATCCGAAATATTTTTCATTTATTTTTAGTTGTTCTTTTTTCTTTTAATACATATTCATGATAAGAAAAAGAAAGGATCTTTTGTTTTTATTCTGAAAGAAACATGAAAAAACGCGACAAGATTAACGCTCGTGGTAGAGAGAAACGAGTCCTTAACCACAATGTCCTGCGGATGATTGGTTTTATCTGCTTTTCCCATTTGTTTCTATACTCGCACACTCTTTTACATTTGTAAAGTATACGCATACACTCGTTTGAAGCATTTATTTCTACGCAACGCGGCCATGGTTGGGAAGGAAATCCTTTCTTTCCTCTCTTGATAACAGGCCTCTCGTTATCAAACAGCCCGCATGATTTCTATGATTCGAAAGAGACCAAAAGCTCAAATAAATCTTCGTCTAACTGTGAATGACAATCATTGTTGATTCCTTGAACGTACCTTAAGTATATATTTCATCATATTTCATACGAACATTTCTATGTAATCTTTTACGCGTATATACATATACACACAGAGAGAAATATATATATATATATATATAATATGTATAATTGTTTGTATATATATATATATATATATATATATATATATATAATGTGTATATTAAAAAAAAAATGTAATGAAATTGAAAAAATTATTCTCTTTTTTCAATTCAATTCAATTTACATATTAAAATAGATCATTTCGCCATATCTAGTTTATAAATAACGGCTGACATAGATATAGGAAATACCGGAATATTATCAGGTTCTTTCTAAAAAGATATCAAGAAAAGAAGAAATCAACAATAACGATGCGATATGTGTCATTGAATTTTTCCTTTCTATAAGTATTTGACGAAATCGATTGAAACAAATCATTTATGTGTTTCTTAGAAATCGTTAGCATGATATAAGACGATCGATTTTTACTAAACATCGCATCGGTCTTTCTACAAGAGAATTTTTCATTATACATCAAATAATCCATCAAAGTTTGAAATTAAAAATAAAGATAAGGGGGAAGAATTTGTTAACGGTGAAAAGATATCTCAAGGGAAGTAAGTACGATAAACCTTACTGTTGTTTTGAGAATACAGACACGATAAATAATGACCGGCCCACGGAAAGCAAAAGGATGGAGATAGAGGAGGATAACAGAGCATGTGGTCCATCATAGACCAGCTGCTGACAGATAGCAGGTATCCCAATGAAGATGCGATCTTTTGTAAACAAAGCTAAAGCCAACTTCTAAATATCTGCGTATCTTCTTGAAAAACGTGATAATAATAATTTTACAATGTAAACATTTTATACACTTTTAGGATTTTACTATGGCCAATCCTTTAATATCAAAACAATTAATGTTAGAATTAATTTGTACATAAATACTTAAGAATCTTACGAAATAATCAATTATAATCTTTATAATTGTATTAATGAATTGTTAGGTAATAAAGAAACAAATCAAATATAACGATGTAATCAGCAAAGAGACACAAAGTAAATATATTAATTATTATAAAAATAAGTAGATGAATCTGAAAAAATAATACCATTGCCCAATGATCTTTGTTAATTTACTTTGCATAATTAACAATGAAATCGCTATAAAGACGTTATGAATTATATGAAAACAAAGATGACTTGTCTTTGATATATCTACTCAAGTACTTTTATTTCTTATGGAAAAATTTAAGATGATACATATTAATTATTTAAATTATTTATTATAAAATAACATAGATCGTGTATTCTTATTTTTAATAATAAAAGAATTTAATTTCTAAAAAGTTTTATCAATTATTCACAGACATATTAATTTACTTTATCTTAAACTTCAATAAAGAAAATTTTCTAATATCAATTTATTGATTCGTGTCAAGGGTTATCATTCAATCAGTGATCATTTCGGTAAAAGAGTAATCAGACGATCTCTAAAATCGTCTAGCTTTTGAATTAATGAGATAAAAAGTTCTATTGTAATTTTCCGTAAATCATAAATAAGACGTTGTCTTTCCACGTTTATACTCGATTATACGCAATGAACTCATAGCTATTTATTACGTGATTTCAAACGAATATAATTCCAGAAAAACGATATATGACTCCTTTCACGATGTGGTCGCTTCATCGTCAAATACCTTATATAAAAAATCAAGTAAATAAATTTTTCTTCTAATCAAAATTTATAAACAACATACGTCCTATTGATAAACCACAGGATACTTGTTAACGAAAGAAACACTATAGTTATCGTGCTTATCGGTTCACACGACGAGATGTTTAACGAGTACTTAACTTCTAAATTGATATACCGCCGGGAGACAATCAATTACAATATACACGTGCTTATGAAAGCGACGACGAAATCGTCATAACGTTCAGTCGAAAGCATTATTTCCATTATGAAATTATAATTCGTAAACTATTCTAATTCGAAATCTATCGTGTATATGTATATGTATATATGTAAACGAATTTGAAATCGGATATTTATCGTAAATTAATTCGACGAAAAAACAAAATAAATATCAGTTTTATATAAATTTGTTCCATTAAATATACGATAGTAATTAACCGTTTGAATCCCAAGTAGCATGATCGCACTGTTCAGATTTTATGTCGAGAAAATCCAGCACATTTAGAGCGTTGTGGACAACTGACGTTGCGTCATCGACTGTCGAAGTCGCTCGCTCAGATTTACTGACGTAAGTACATCACATAGCTCCTTCTTTTAATGTAAATAATACATTTTATAATAGGTACAATACTATAATAATAGTGCAATAATACATTACAAAATAAAACATTTTGTATTTCATTGTTATCTTCTCAATAATTTTTATCGAAGAAAACTTAAAATATTTATGAACTTACAGTACGCATATGTAATAATACAAATGTATTTCATAAAATAACGAATTACAAATTAAAAATATTTTTGTATTATGAACAAACAATTTAAATGAAGAGTAATACTTATAATTTGTAATATCGGTGTTTATCAAAATATATTGGATGAATTCCTTTTTTACATTGCACTCAAATTAAATGTAATCTTTTTATTACATTTTTGGTGCTGCAGATTACGCATTGTCGCAAGTTACATCGTGACAACTTTATTAAACCAAATCACTTTCCCAACTGCAATAAATGTGACGGAGTGATGTGAAAAAGGTGAGAATCACATTACCTAACACATCTTATATGTGCAGAACATAAAATGTAAGAAGCACTATTGCCCCGATTGGGATTCATCGACATAAAATAAACGAAGCGCTATCGCACCGCTTGGGATTTATCGACACAAAATAAAAGAAACGCTATTGCGCCGCTTGGATCTTTTCGTACTCATTTAGAGAAAACGCGGTTACGCTGTTCGGGATTCTTTGACAGTGTTTTTTCGATACCCTCTGGGACTCAAACGGTTAATAAACTTTCATAAAGAGTTATGTCGAATATAGTCGTACAAGTAAAAAAAAATTTCGATTTTAAATGAAACTGAAAAATGAAAAAACAGAAAATAAAGAATGTATGCAGATTCGTTGTTATGTATAATCTGATCTTTCGAGACCTTGACACTTGCAAACTCTTAATCAGACTTATATTAGCTTTCATTGCATTCTAAAAAGTTACACATTATAAAATGACAACTAAAAGAGAAAGAAAAATAATTTTTGATGTTATAGATCGGCTTGTCGTTAAATTTGTTATATGAAGTTCTCTCTACCAAACAGAGAAAGAAGGTCACCAATGTAACTTTTTACTCAGAGCCGTGAGACAGGAGGACGGTTCAGGTGTGGATGATTCACGTGGAATTTCAAATGGTAGGGGGTTTTGAGTGAGCATCGGATTAGCCAAGTACGAAAGAAACATTTATTAAGATCGATAAGATTATCATCTTGTTGAAAATTCGATTATTGACCCGATTATTTATTAACACCTTAACATTCCATTCTACATCATAAAGATGACATATCCGGTTAAAAGTAGTTCAAGAAGAAAGAAAAGAAAATACACACACACGTAAAATAAAACGAAAAAAAGGAATAATGATCTTAAAGAAAAATCATCATCAAATATTTGAAGCGAGCATTCGATTAACAAGTTAATTGTCTCAAATCATCGAAAAAAACAACAGAACAAGATGATTAGAATCAAGAACTAAAATTCATTCGTTTAACCGTATGTGACTCAATGATGACCACGTGATCACCGTGTTACGCATCAGTAAAAAGTAAGATACACATATTCTCTCTCTCTCTCTCTCCCCTCTTTCGGCCTTTCTCTCTCTCTCTCTCTCTCCCCTCTTTCGGCCTTTCTCTCTCTCTCTCTCTCTCACTCACATCTCACTCCCTATCTCTCTCACACACACACTTTCTATACAAGTATGATAGACAAGTATTTCTTTTCAGGTGTGGTGTTGTCGACGTCAGAATAATTACCTCGACAGTAGAGAGTAAGAGTGAAGAAGATAAGAACGAATATTGTTCGTAATGTCATCTTTTTTGCCGGCATTTTCGTCTTCATGTTTTTTTCTTCGCACACTTTTCACATACTTTTTTTTTACTTTTATTTAATTTAATTTCCTATCAAAATCATAATTATTTATTGCTCAAAACGCTTTCTTTTGTGAATGAAAATGAATAGAGAAAGGAGAAAGAAATGACACGATGTATACGTTCTTTCTCTCTTTTTCTCTTTCTTCTTTTCTATCTTTTTCACTGACTCTTTCTATCTCTTTAATTATCGAGACGCACAAGTCACCGATCGCGGATATCACTCCGTTCCAGATCCGCTCGGCTGAAGAGTTGGAACTAAACTCACGAACTACGCGCGATCGTACGTGGTAACACACACGCGCGCACACGTACACACACATACACACACATAGAGACACACCAAACGTATTCACGCGAACGACCCCACCCCTTTTGCGTTCCATTGGAGAATGTTGCAACTTATCGTACGACGTCATTTCAACGTTAACTCGTTTCTTCTCATTCTTCTTCACTTTCGTATTTCGTTCTTCTACTCACCAATATTTGGTTTACTCATTTCGATTTTTTGATCTAGCTGTTCAACGTGTTTACTTGGTTTTTCTTTCTTTTCTTTTTTATTTTATTTAACGTTACACGTACTTTTTTCTAAAGTTATGAATGTATATAATTAGTTTTGAAAAACCGCGAAGATCGACATTGGAAAGTTTGAATGAAACCTCTCAATCGGTAAGAGCATACTCTTCTTGTCATTCACTCAGCCTGTTCATTTTTTCTTTTTTTAAATACATACGTAAAATCGTAGGTGTCTGTAAACTTTTAATTGTAATATTTTTATATTTTTATTTGTTCAAAATTACGTTACGTAAAAAGTACCGAAAACATTTTCGTTTGGCTCGCAAATTTTTATGGCGCTAAAAGAATTGATAAGATTTAAACTTGACCACACGTAATTGCAAAATCAATTGAAAATAATATTTTATATTATTATTTGAAGGATTAATGATTTCGATGATACTTTGAATAATTAATTTTAATAATTATAATAAATATATATATATAAATTATTTAAATATATATAGAATGTATATACATATAAATAATTTTTACATATATACATATATATAATGAATAAATGAAGATCTATTTTATTCTTACACACGTTATATCTTAATAGGAAATGTTATCAACTACGCAAAAGTATTGAAAGTGAAAAAGTTGTTGCACAGTAATCTTGATGGCGCTGATATCGACCCGTATGTTACCAATGGAGACGATAAATAATTCCACTTCATGTTTCTAATTTAACATTTTCAAAGTAAAAATCTTTAGATCTTTATAAAAAAAAGTTTGACTTTTTAACAAACATTTATTTCAATTTACAATTTGTCAAGCTACAATAAGTCTTGTAGTCGAATTTCCTTACTTGAATTAGTCAAAAATAAAGAAAAAACAATTAACATAAATTCGTACGTTAGGATTGTAAGTGAAAAATGAATCGTTTGTACTATATTTATAAAATATTCCTATCTCTAATACTAACTATAAACTATAACAATATAAACTATAAAAATCCGACGTAAATTAATTTTCGTTCTGTCTCCAACTATTTTGTTTCTTCTTTTTTTATTTTTACGTTTGAATCGATAGAAAATCGATAGGATTTTTTTATCTATGCACAATTAAAAATACTTAATACTAAAATACAGTCTTATCGTTGGAAGATTCTTCCAAAAAAAAAGGAAAAAAAATAATGCAAGCAAAGTAACAATTCTCGACTGAGAAAAGGATAAACTTACGGTACGGTATCGTGACTCGAGTCATTAGCAACATGTTTTTCATCATTAACGACCACGCTTACCGAATAGGAACTTTTGTCGTCAACATTATCTTTTTTGCTTTGTACTTGTTCATCATTTGATTGGCATGGCTCACTATTGTTTAGTTCACTCGTCGTAGGAGATGCCAATTTTGGGCTCTCGTCGTCGTGTATCACAAATTTTTTTAAATCTATCATCGGTGAAGCAGGTATGATCTCCTTTTTCTCAAACTTCTTATTGATCACGTGTACGTGTTTCAATGACTCTTCGGAAGATGATTTTTGTCCAAGTTTTTCTCTTGTACAACACTGCGACAAACTACACAGTTCACCGTGACAACGAATCAAACAATCAGTTTTATCCGTTGTCGGCTTCATCTAAAGAAAAGAAAATAATATAGAAAAAATTTTATTTAAATTTATCCATAAACACGATGTGAGGGAGATGATATGTCAAACCTTATGAAATTCTGGTTGTATAGTGACTTGCGTTATACCCATTTCGATAAAAAATGCTGTTATTTGATCAATAATACTGGCATAAACCTATTAACAATGACGAGAATAGCTTTGAAAGAATTGTTTTTATCATCAAGAATATCATATCATTTACATACCATAGGATCTAAAAATATTATGTGCACTGTTAATATAATCTTTTGCGATGTTAATTGCCAGACATGAAAGTCATGAACATTGACAATGCCTGGAAAAGCTTCGAGTAGTTCTTTTTTCAGAGAATCGATGTTAATATGATTTGGAATGGTTTGTAGTAGTATCAAACCAGATTCCTTCACTAAAAAATTTCACAGCTTCCATTAGTGATACATACCTCAAGTTAGTTTATATATATAAATATACCTAAATGTAGCAAGAAAATTTAATGTTTTACAATACAAAATAAAAATTGTGTATATATATATTTATCTATCACAAATGTTAAAACGATTGATCAAATATTGTTTTATATATCTCATTGCTATCGCAATATATATACTACATACGTATATATTGACACATAAATAGAACAAAAAAGAAGAATAAATCGACAGCATATTTTCTAAAGTATAACTATCGGAGACGGCATAGTTATCTTATCGCATAATCAATAACTAAAATATACTTACTATACGGATAGCTCAGAACTAAGAGTGATATCGATGAAATAATGGCAAAAACGGGATCTAAATATTTGGCTACGTCTGAATCAGTGAAGTACACTAATATCGATACAAGCATGACAAAAATGCAACCGAGAACGTCACGGCATATCCTTCGAAATCCTTGACTCCTTGGGACAACTAAAGAACTTCTAGTTTGTGCTGCTAATCGTTGTTCGCCTTCCGTTTCTGGTTGTGATTTTATATTCCTAATTATAAAATAAAGAATATCTTGTTAAAATGTTATATGTTGATTAACATATTATAGTATATTATGATATATAAACACTTACTTTTATGACAAAATATAAAAAATAAAATTGTTAATGTGTTAATTGGAACGATATTTCTGTATATCTGCTCTTACGAAGATATTTACCTTCTAAATATGACGTCCCCATTATTGGTGACATGCAACAATATTCCCTGATTAAATGTAAATCCACCAATGAGAATGTAACAAAAAATGTTGAGAAAAATACCAGCTACCCCGATGCAGAGTACAGCCATCGGATGATGCATCTCATCGAGATGATCTATATGGACCAACGTTTGTAACGCCTCGACTACGAGAGAGAAACAGAAGGAAGCTAAGAGAATGCAACAAATTAGCATTGTTAGGATATCGATCCTAGCCCATCCAAAACTATTCTTCATTCTCCTGTCCGATCGTGATTGCTATAAAAATATACAACAAAATTTTTTTCAAATTTCCTACTTACTATTTAATCTATAATAATAATAATAATAATAATTAATATATTATATATATTATTATATTAATATTATATATAATATATAATATATATTATATATATATATTTTATATATATATTAGATATTATATATATAATATATATTAAAATATATATAATATATATAAAATATATATATATTATATATATATTTTTTATATATATATTATATATTATATATATATATAATATATATTATATATTATAACATATATAATATATATTATAATATATATTATATATATATATTATATATTATATATATATATATATATATATATATATATATATATATATATATACATATAACAGAAAAATACAGTTCTGATCACCTTTGTCTTCGTCGACAAAGAAGTATTCGAACCATGTTCCTGGCCGTCCAAACAAATCACTGAATCCCCAAAAGAACTGCTCGTACTATTGTAAACACTTCTGTAACTTTCACGAGGAGCATACTGTAAAATAATAAAATAAATAATAATCATTCGATAGACCTTCATTTCTGTTGGATAATTTTTCTCATAAAATTCATATTGTTGAAAAACTGTCAAAAATGTAAATTATTTTTTATGAATATCTAATAAAAAAGAAAAATAAATAAATAGAACAATTTATTATGCTGACATTTATGGTCTTGATAATTAATATCATGAAAGGGTTACAACGTTTTATCAGGATGCATACGACACAAGTCAAAGATAACATTCTTGAATCCTATCAGGAGCAACGTTGTAAAAACAGGAAACATCCTTTCTGAGTTTATCCTTGACAGCTCTTTTAAAATGAATCTAATCTAATAAACATAACTCTAATAAGATCATTAGATATTTTACAATATTCTTTTTTCATTTCTCTTTTTTAAATAAATTTTTATTTAACTATAATTATAAAGAGATTTTATTCAAAATGGGGTATATATATTATATATTTAACAAGTAGAAAACGATCATTCAATTGCAGAACAATCAAGTGAAAGCGAAATAATAGAAATGACATGAATATTGAAAGTGTCTTTTATCCTAATGCTAACGTAATCGCACCAGTGAGTACGAGTTTAATATTTGTACATGCATGAACGAGTGGATAAACAATATAGTATATGCTTTTACTATTAAGACATAATTCATTTCGATACTACTGTATATCAAATTGTAAATAATGTCTTATAATACATAAATTATAAAAAGGCGTAAAATATTCTAACTTCAAGATAAATCGATCGTCGTTCAAATCTAATTGTTATCGAATGAAATTAATCAATTCAACGTGTCAAAAATATAATTAAAATCGATAAATAACATAATTATCAATCATGATTAACGATCGAACACTTGGTTGATAAAAAGTTCCGTCCTACGATATAAGTGAATTAATTAAATAATAAAATTATATACAATTTATACAAATTGTAATTATATATAATTAATTAGAAATTCCAATCGATAGAAATTGATTAGATCAACTTTTTAATTACCTAAAGAAATGATTTTCCTCAATGAAAAGAATCGAAGGAAAAAAACAAAAAAAAGTAAAATAAAAATAGAATAAATAGTAAAGATTATAGATTATTAATGAACTTACCTTGATCGAAACGAGACAGCCGAGGGTTGCAATGATGTTACAAAGCATATGATAGGCGTTGAGAAGTAACGTTAACGAGTGTGTAACATGACTGGCTACCATCTCAATGATAAAGAATGCCACAGTGAAGAATACCACCAAGTACAGCTGTACAGGCTGTAGCTTTCTGAACCACTCTTTCACTGGCATGACCCTGCAGCAAAATCACACGGTGAACGCTTCTAGTCTTACTCTTCATTTCTCTCTCTCTCTCACTCTCTCTCTCTCTCCCTCTCTCTCTCTTTCTCTATCTATCTATCCATCTATCTATCTATCTATCTACCTCTATCTCTTTCACTCTCTCTCTTACTTCTTTTTCTTTCTGACCGTACAAATAGTGGAAGAACGATGTGTAGCAAATGAGTGTAATTCATTGCACCGAGAATTACCGTTGACCGACCGATTCAAGGCAATGTTCGATCTGTTTTTCAAACCTTTAATCGTTGATCTTCTTTTGACCTAACAACGTTCCCCGTAATAATTTGGTTTTTTTATTTTTATAATTTTTAAATATATATATATATATATATATATATATCGATAGAAAAGAAAAAAAAAGAATCGAACCTAAGTAAGACGTGATAATATTATAAAACCTTTACTTAAATAATTCAATAATAAAATGGATTGAGAAGATATTGTGAAGGTGCTTCTAGAAGTGAAAATGAATGATCATTTTTGTGTTCTATTTTCAAAGATTTTTTTCAGAAATTTCGATACTACGAAAATCTTATCGTTAATATAATAAAATTTTATATAAACTGTATTGTTATTTCGTGTAACATCCGCTGCCATGTTATTAGTAAAATATCTCTTTGAAGTAAAAACGAGGGATTATTAACGAAAGGGAGATTACATTCTCGTTATTTATTCCGAGTTATCGTCAATGACACAATAATATGAGTATTTCATCGATACTTTCGCTTTTAAAATGAAATATATACACATACATATATTTATATGTATATATATAGCTAATCGTTCTAATATCGAATAAATTTATCATATATAAAAATAAAAATCAGAATTATGAAAAAAAAGTTTCTAAAAAAGATCGAATTCAATTTAACAATCATCACTTATTTTCATTTTCATTTCAGGATCTAACGAATCATTGTTCACAATATTAAACAAACATTTTGCATATTAAAAAACAGAAGATATTAATTCTGAAAATAAAAATATTATAAAAGAAATCAAATTGAATCATACAAAGATCACCATTTCCATTTTCATTTGACTAAGGTATCATTTTTTATATTATCAGGTACTTGAACTTTAAGCTGTTTAATCTCTATTTTCGTTCTAGGCGAGCATCGTGCATCTCAATAAAAAAAAAATATTAAATCGATAAGACAAATTCTTTCATAATAATCAAATGTTCTACTTTCCATTCAGAATAACGAATAAAAGACCTCGTACATATACACAATTAACACAGAATGGACCCAACATATTACGTTTCGCAGAATGATTTGGTAATTACGTATCTAATTCCGAGATCTACCCACGTCATATATAATGATTGTAATCTTCTATGAAATAATGGACGTTCGTCGATATACTGTTTCATTAAAATAAACCACGTGTTCCCTCCGATACGATTTTCAAAGTTATCATTTAATGAACAACACAATATTCATATATTTATGTACGTATATATGTATTTTTATGTTTTCCAAATAGTCGTTCGATTAATAAAATATGAAGTAAATTAATTAGAGTACATGTTTAATCCTTATCTAGATCAAAAGAAACGAACGATATCGAACAACTCGATGATTTTGTATATTTATTTCTCATTTTTTGTATTACACTTACTATGTCGACTATTTTTAAAATTCTTCAAAGAAAAATAAATATATCCCGTGCACGAAAACGAATGAACTTATGCGAATTTCACATCAATGATCAATACAAGAGGGAGGAAGGAACAACATCGACTGACGTTACCCTTTAATCGGCTCAACGCTTTTTATTATCGAAGCAGCTGGCTCTCTCCTCGTCTATCCCTCTCTCTTTCTCTCTCTTTCTCTCTCCCTCTCTTTCTATCTTTCTCTCTCTCTCTCTCTCTCTCTCTCTCTCTCTCTCTCTTTCTCTTTCTCTTTCTCTTTCTCACACATGCAAGAGTTTGTCTTCATAGATCCCACTTTATAAAGAAAAGAAAAGCGAATAACGAAGAGGACAAGAGTCCGCTGTACTAGACTTCAAAGAAAGCGAATGACAATCGTAAGGAATCTGTGTTATTCTTCTGTGTATTTCCTCCTTGAAAGGACGTTTGTCCTCCTTGTTTGCCTCCTCACCCAATAACTCCTTCTTTTCGTCTCTTTGTCTTTTTCTTTTCTTTGCAAGTAGATAAAGAAACTACCATCTGTATTATTTTCAAATATATATATATAGATGTTGACATATAGATTTTGAAAAAAATTGTATTATTTGAGTAAAGAAATAAAATCTTATCGAGTTTACACTTTAAAAATTGATTTTTAATATTACTCATGATCTATCGAAGTATATATAGTACTTTAGATTTTTTTTTCCAACAAAAATTTATACCTGAGTCAAAAACCGGTCGAGGAATGACTTCGTTAATAATCACAACTCTTTCTATCTGATCTGTCAACAAAGTTTTCATAGAATGATTCATTGTTCGTTCTCATTCAAAGTTTCCAAAGAAATACGACATTTATCGTAGGCGTAAAGTATACATGTATGTACATATATACGTATGCTCATAAATCCATTCAAATCGGTCGAATTATTTGTTTTCTCTTATTTTCTTGCGACGTACGATCTTTAATAGAAAAGATTCAAATATGTTGGCAAAATTGTGTGTATGTGAAAAAGTTAGATGCTTGTTAAAACATTAAAAATGCGTCACGTTATTTTGTTTAATTAATTATTAGAAATTATATACAAAAAATTATGTAATATCGTATTCTCGTTTACTTATTTGCTAAATTTTTAAATCTCTAAGATCAACCTATAGTTTCTTTTTCACATTTCGCACAAAAGAAGAAAGTTGGTGTAACTTTTTCTTATTCTTTTCCATTATTTTATAATATTCAGCATAAAATAATTGAACATTATAGTTAATTGTATAATTGATATTAAATGGAATTTATACGATTTAATTTAATCTCTCGATGTAAACAGAACGTGTAAAGGTACAACATGCTCACGACAAATAAAAATGTTCTTCCGAAGATCCATATTGGTCCAGTTTGAAGAATTTTTATAAGCTGATCTCTGATGAAAATTCCTCTCGTAGGTATACATGAGAGCACTGTGACGTTCCTTTTACTGACAGTCGTTCATAGTCAATCTAAATTGAGCGTGTTAGCTTCACGAGCAAAGTCAGAGGTGGATCCAACAAGAGAGTTAGTTGCGAACATCCGGTCACGGTAATAGCCTTTGAACTACAAATCGTCCGCTCCTTCCGATCATTGCCATCGTTCTCTTTCTCCTCCCTCTATATCTCTCTCTCTTTCTCTCTCTCTCTCTCTCTCTCTCTCTCTCTCTCTCTCTCTCTGTCTATTCACAATTTCAACGATTTCAAAAAACATTTGAATTTCATTTCATCGTAGAAATTAACGTTTGTAATCTTTGTTTCTAAACGAAAATTTTTCAAATGAAAAAAAAATGATTTATCTATCAATAAGGAAACCAATTTTTTTACTACAAAAAAAAAGAAAATCTGTTTTAATTCCTTTTCTTCTGTAATCCTTTAGACATGAATATAAGTCAGAGCAAATAACTCTGTCTTTTGAAAATTAGTTCGATATAAGAGACAATTTTTAACTTCTCGTCAGAACGATTTTACAGAATGTTACTCACGTGCTTTGAAAACGTCGCTATTCTTTCTGTTCACAATACTCAGCACTCATGAGAAAAAATAACTGAAAACTCGCGTGTACAACGTGTACGTCGTTCTTTAAGCAATTTTTCCAACGACTTTCTCTCTCAAGGCACAGCTTAGTGTATCTTCTTTTTTTCTTATCGATGGAAGAGGAAGAACATAATAATCAAAATTGAAGAACCGAGCTTTCTATTAGAGCAATAAGAAATTTTTTCATGACACGATAAAAAGGTAATGTTTCTGCTTTGACGGATTCCGAACGTCTGCTTCTTATTGTACACGTATACTGTTAAACCAACTAATCTCAAACAACTTTACTATTATCTTCTTTGATATCAAACCAAATTGCTTCTTTTTTCTTTAGACTAATCTTAGACTGATTGTGAGTCTAACAACAATAAGTTCTAGATAATAAAGTAAATCTAAGTACAATGTTCAGAGTTTGAATCGACGTTGGATAGTTCCAAACTTAACTCATTATGAATAAGTAGATGTTACACGTATGTGTGTGTATGTTTGTGTATATATAAATTATATAAAACGTATAAAACATGATTGTTTAAAAATCGCTAACCTGATGACTTTTATAAGTTATAACGAACTTGTCATGATGAAGACAAAAAGACCTTGATAATAAACGGCAATTAAATAAAATAAATTGTTTAAAGTAAATATGTGTACACCTATCGAAAAATTAACATATGTATACATTGTAACAGATGTTCAACGATTATAACATGGAGGGAGCACCATGATAATGGACAAATCATTTAATATCAGGAAAGATAATAGTGATTCTTCCAAATCTTTTATCAAGTAATACTTCACTGAATAGTGATTTTAATAAAGACTTATTAACTAGGAATCGGGAGCTAACGTAAAAAAATATAGCCTAGATATTCTTCCTACAAACGGGACTTCTTAACAAGAAATTAAATCAAAGAGAAAGTGCGAGCAACAACCTAGTCGACGTGCATGTCAGAAGAGTTGGCATGGATAACGGATGACGGGATCCTGATCAGTTGAGCCGTGTGCATCCAAGCTTCTAAATCCGTCGTACATGGTTAGAAGACGAGCAAGGTCACGGCATTAACAGCGAGGATAAATAACCAAAATTGTTGTGGCATTTCTTACTGTTCTAGTGATTTCAAAATTAAGATTTAATCGTAATTAATTTATTGAGAGTGCAAATTGTGTGAATAAATTGTGAAACCAACGAGATTGTAGAAGAAGACAATATATAATACTGCTGGAAAATGGTATGTTGCTAAAGATTTTCTAAATTATTCGTTTGTAAAATTGGTAGATCACAATTCTGCGTTTTCACGGGTTTAAACAACGTCCATGAAAAATTTTAATTAATTGATAATCGAAAGAACAGATGTAAGCGTAATTATTGGTGCGTGTGTATGCATTTTTTATCATTCAGATATTTAATAAATTTAATTAAATTTTCTTGATTAAAAATTCATCCTACATAATATATAAAGTGTAATATATTTCACATTTCACGTTACATTTCACCAATCCTAAACTATTATCAATTCCACATCTTAATTTATTTTACGTAACTGAGCTTCATGTACAATTCAACTCGATTTTTACGTCTGTCGCATAATTTATTTGTTCATGTAACAATCAATTCTTCACGATGATAAAGCAAAAAATGGAGAATATATTATTACCAATATCATTATCTTATTATTATTATTATTATTATCTTACTATTATTATTATTATCATAACGTCGTGGATCATTGAACTATATATTCGAAGAAAATTGTAATTACGACTCTTTAAAAGAACACTTCAAAGGAACCTTACTTGTTAATCATGAAATTATACGATCGAATTCTCGTTAAAAAATGATTATAATTCTTTTTTATCATAAATCATATAATGCTTAGCCAAATTATTATCAAGGTAATCTCTATCTTATAAAAAACGTTGAAAGTAAATGCATGAGCGTGTACAATTATTTACGGAATTAGAAGAAAAAGAACCTCAACGCCATTCACCTGATTCCGTTCAAGACATCGCTCTCGCACCTTTCTTCAATTTCTCTTTTCTGGAAATTTCGTGGTACAAATTCGCATGCTAGTCACTTTAGAAGAAATACCTAGATGAATCAATAAAGAAAGATATGAAATAAATATAAACATTTTTTGTTATTCGAAATCTTTTGTCCCAAAAAAATTTCGATACTTTTATTCGTGGTATACAAAGAAAAGAAAAAAAACCATCAATTTCTCTACTAAAAAAAAAAAAAAAAACGATTTCTCCAACGTTAACAAAAACAATAAAGTCAAATCGGTCGTTCATATTCTTATTCATAAATAATACAAACTGTTACCAAATTCAAAGATTCACAGAAACATTTTCTTACCTCAAAAGATTCAATTGGCCATCAGAGAATCGATAAAAAGGGGCCAGATCCATGTGCACTTCCCGAATATGCACTTCTTTTGACATTGAAACGATTTTTCCGGTGTCTTCAGGTGTCATCCTTTTTATCGTTTCCTGCCTATTCTTTTTACGACAAATGTTGATATCGCATTGATCATACAAGACACACGATCATCTTGTTATATGAGATATTAAATATATACACGCGTATCCCGAGTATTACCCTCCTTTCTAGCAACTATTATTTCCGTCATTAGGATCGCAGAGAGAAACGAAAGACACGCACGTCGTCTCTTGCGTCGCGTTTATATCGGAAACTAATGAAACGAATGTTTGCGGATATTGCATGATCGAGATCTGAGTAACTGATTTTACTTTAAACATAATTTCAAATTTCGCGGTTTTTATTTCTTTTATATACGTGTCACCTGGATTGCTCTTCGTTGATATTTAATGAAAAATTTATTGGTTAAAAAATGTAGCTATTTCGCGAATTTGACTTGTTGTTAGAATGTTGTTGAACTATTAGATCTTATAATTAAATGCAACTTCAACGTCTTTTTTTTTTTTCTTTTTTTTTTTGAGGGTATTCTGTGTTACCGATGGTTCGTTGGAAACAGATCATAGCGCCAATACAAATCAGAAAATTAAAATTTAAAATATTAATGGATTATATATATATTATGCGATTATAATGATTATGCGATTATAACGATTATATGATTATAATGATTATACGATATATAACGAATAAATTTTCCGAATAAAAATTTCCGAATAAATACAGATAATTAGCTCAATAGTACTTGCGCTGCATTACAATTCAGGATAAAACGTTACATCTCAAGTAATATTGATTACTCTAATCTCATCAATAAAATTAATAAATGCTTAAAAAAATATACTTTCTGTATTTTATTGGAAATGAAAATAAATATTTATAAAGATACAACCTAACTACATTTATCTCTGCCGATAACTTAGTTTCCTGTACAGAAAAGTTTTCTTAGGAATATTGATAATTCTTGAAATGCAACAGGAGATTATATGTCTTCTTTGAATATTCGTTGAATATATATAAACATATATGCATTGTACATGAATTGCATTGTAATGTGAATTAAGAAAATCAAATCATTCAAGAATGATCATTTATTTTTCTAATTTTCTTTGTGTGATCTCTTTACAAATAATCGAACAATAAGGTCTTTGTATTTAACAACGTGACTTTCATTAAAATGAAAACATATATATATATGTATATATAATGATATATATTTAACTCCCGCAATATTGGAATTCTTCCTGGAAAATCAGTAAGTATTTACATTTTAAATAAAACAGTCATCATATACGAAGATTGAATCATCGTCTAACGTGAAACGTCATCTTTTAAAAGGGATATATTTTGAACGATTTATACATCTTTTTTTTATATCATGGCCTTTTTTATAGATAATGGCCACATCAGAGAAAATTAATGAACCTATTAAGGTGGCAGAAGAAAGTGGAATTGTACGTAATTAATATTTAACCATTTTACGTTTTTTTAAATGGTTATGTACAGAAATTAATAGACTGCTGAATTTTAATATTGCGTTAATATAATTATTAACTTATTTTCATTCATGGTGCGCGTGTTTTATCCAGTGTGGTGATGGTATAAAAGAATACTTGGAACCCCGATTTGAGTGTCCTATTTGTTTAACTTGGCTACGTGATCCAGTTCTAACATCTTGTGGTCATAAGTTTTGTTCACGATGCATTTACACTTGGTTACAGTAAGTTTTATAACAAATAATTATTTCAATAATATATGACAATACTAATATCTAATTATATATTTTTTATTAGAAGAGAAGGTGCATGCTGTCCAGTAGACAGTCAACCTCTAAAATCTGAAAGTGATCTTTTCAGAGATCTTTATACCAGCAGAGAGATATCTCAGCAACGAACTACATGTGCATATCGTCAATTTGGCTGTTTGATGGAATTATCACCAGTAGATATGGAGACACATATCAATCAATGTACATACAAAAGTTTGTCTACCTCAGTAGGGACTCAATGTCCCTTTAAAGATGTTGGTTGTATGGAAATATTTTGTTCTGAAGAATCTTCACATATTCATTTGGAAAAAAATATCAATTCACATTTAACTGTTAGTAAAGTAATGTGTAACATATTGCTATATTAATTTATATTTATTATATATATGTTTACTTATTTAACAGATGATACTAAATGCACTTCCACGCTTATCTATAAACCAAAGCAATGTTAGTGCCATATCCGCAGAATCTAAGTTATGGGATCCACCACCCAAAAACGGAACATCAGTTTCAGATAAAGAACCACCACCAGATTGGCAGCAGTTATTAAAGTAAATAAAAAAATATATACAATTCTGTTATGTGTTTAGAAAATATTCAACAAAATGTTTTTTTAGGAGTTTGTATGAAAGGATAGTGGTATTAGAACAACAAAATCGAGAACTTTCTATTATTGTCTCCAATCAAAAAAATCAACTTACAGCTTTACAAACATCAATACGTTTTACAGAAGAGGAAATGTTATTACGTAATTGTAATGGTGTTTATATCTGGAAATTAAATTCTTTCCAAGAAAAGCTTACTTCCATGATAAATGATCCTTTAAAGATGTATTATAGTCCTGGATTTTACACTGGACCTAATGGTTACAAAATTTGTGCCAGAATAAATATATCCTCAAAGGATCCCGAATTTTTGTCAATACTTTTACATATTATGAAATCTGAAAATGACGATGCATTAGATTGGCCCTTCAATGGTGTTATGTATTTCATTTTGATACATCCACATAACACAGAAAAAGATATAAGAGAGAAAACTTGTTCCAGACCAGATCTTGAAGCTTTCAGAAAGCCAATCTGTGAATTAAATAAACGTAGTTTTGGCTACGTTGAATTTGTGCGCATACGGGATATACCTGATTTTTTACGAAAAGATACTTTAACATTTCGAATTGAAGTTCGAGCATACGATAAATTTAAGTTACCATTAGTATAAAATCATTTATTATACTCATTAGTAACTATATCAAACTTTGTGAATAATTATAAAGTACAGATCTTTTATATATTATTAAACTGTTAAGATATTTTTTATCAATTTTATATAAAAAAAAAACCCAAAAGAATCCGTCCAATTTTTGTACAAGATTGTTGAATTAACAACATATATTATAGTAATAATAATGTAACATGATAAAATGTTTGTTTTTAATAATATAAGAATAATGGTCATTAAATACGACCCTTCGTTTTTCATAGCATAAATGTGATAATCATTATTAAAGTGAACTCATAAAGACAAATAAATCGAATTATTTTAAAAACATGCATGTATATATTTAACTTTCCAATATATATTTAACTTTCCATTTTACTTTCCAATTAATGTTTTGATATTTGATCATTAACAAAATTATTGTATTTTTATTGTTGTATTGTTATAGCTACCTGGATATTTCACATACGGGAAATATTAAATAATTTGTCTTCTACCGACCCATTTCCCATAAAAAAAAATATTTTCTAAGTACTCGAATTTTGTATAATCGTTCGTAACGGAAAGATTATCTTCAAGAATAATGGATGTAAATTTTATACGTTATTTATTTATATTTAATTCTTGCTTTTTGGCCATTGTTGGATTTATTATTATTATTGCTGAACCTTACTTACCTGTTTTAATTACACGTACATTTCACTATGGTAAACATGAAATTAAAATTCATCAATCAATAGTTGCAAAAGCCGAGCTACCAAAAAGGTTAGTTACTGAATTTGATTAATTACTTTTATAAATAATTTTTTCTCTATTATATTCAATTTTAGGTGGTTTAAACATTTCTATCTCTTTGCAACACCAGTTTTTACTTGTTCTCTTATCCTATTTTTCTATACATATTTTATGAACGGTACAATTCCTGAAATAATATATTGGTTATTAGATATATCACTTGGCAAATCTAGAAAAGCATTAAGTAAAGTATATTTGAATAAATGCACCATTTTTATTGCTATATTATATTATTTTATTTGTTTGTTATAATTGATGTATTATATATTTTGATTTTTAGTATCACCAGAATGTGGATTTTTAACCATAACACTTCTTACTATTCATTGTTGGAAAAGATTATACGAAACACATTATGTTACTGTTTTCTCTGATAAAAAAATTAATATCTCTCATTACATAGCTGGATATACACATTACATAGGAACAATATTAAGCATTATGGGTGAATCACATGGTTTCGTTCGAAGTAAGGTATTCTTCTGTAAAACGTAAATAATATATACTAATTGTTCTTTATTAAAACAAATCTCCTTACAGATTTCAAAGAACTAATTTATTGGCATAAATTAACGCTCTTACAAATAGTTTGTGCTATCATATTTTTATTATCTTCGTTGGTGCAATTACAAACTAATTCTATTTTAGCCGGTTTAAGAAAATCTAACAATAAAGTTGTCTTTAATGGTTATAAAATAGCACATGATGGTTTATTTAAATATTTGTCTGCACCGTTGGAATTTACAGAAATATTAATTTATTTAATGTTATCTGTTATTCTTTGGCAAAGTAATACATTTCATTACATTACACTTTGGGTTGTAATAAATCAAGTAAGTACATATAAAAATTTATATATATATATATATATATATATATATATATATATATATATATATATATATATGTGAGTAAGCAATTTTTAATAGAAATTAACTTTTATAGATAAATTGTGCTGTAATGACTCACAAATGGTATAAAAAAACTTTCCAAAATTATCCAAAGGAACGTAAAATTTTGATTCCATATTTATTCTAGATATAATTATTATTACTTCCTATTTCTAATATTCATAATATATTTATTAACTTAGAAATTTTGCAAAATAAAGAAATTTATTATTTTCATTTTACTAGACTCATGTAAACACACATATACGTCTTGATTATTGTTTCATTCCACAATTATATGATTTTTAAAATAACATTGAATAATAAATATTTATTTAACTAATAATTTACAATGAATTATTTTCTGTTTATACTATTTTTTCATGTAATAATAAATAAAATCAAAAATAGAACTAATAGATAATAAACATGTTAATATTTATTTTAGAACAAAATAATTACTGTAAAATATTTTTTGAATTCACCATTGTTACCACCAAATTCGAATGTGTTTCAATTGTCCGTTGATCTGCCCTCTATAGTCGTTAGATATGATATTGCATTCATATACTGTCTTCAGATTACTTCAAGTTTATTCGTGATAGGGAAGATCAGTAATGTTTGAATAATTTTAAAACATTAATTTTCAATAACTGCACTCAATATGAACTGATAAATGTTATTATGATATTGATAATCACTAAATTGGCAAATATAGATCAATAATTTTATTAAACCGCATCTTATCATGTCTGCCGAGCATCACAGTGGAAAAGGTTATACACCTCTTCCTCAGTGTATGAGCAATACTGACACCGAAGATGAAGATGAACATGTAACACAAAGAAATGATTTAACAAACAAACAAACTAACGATGAGAGAGAAACAACGGTGAGACCAATTATTTGAAAATTAATTGAAGAAAGTAATTAGGTCACTCACAAATCTCATATTTAAAACATCTCAAAATTTTATATTGAAGAACTTTTACACATACTCTAATTTTAACTCTGTATATCATAATCTTAGGAGCCTACCACAGTTCACGAACATGAAGCGTACTATCCACTGGATGAAACTAGAAATTTAGCAAATCGAACTAGGAATGGGCAAAACATAATTAAATGTTACAGAGATGATATACCTAAAATGATAATAGAAGGCAATACGCAAAATGATCTATGGAAACGCAGAGATATGTCTCCTCTTCGACGTTTCTGCTTAGTTATATCTATACTATTATGCATAGTAACAATACTTGTGTTTTTGTATGTTTTACCATGTGACACTATGATATGTCCACCAATTAATGAATCACAATCATCTGTTTCATGGGAGAAAACTTTATGGAATGTAGGTGAGTATGATTCGTAAAACAATATGTAAATAAACCAATTTTGTTGTTTGCAATAAATGATGTAATTAGAAACATCAAAATTTAATTATTATACTATTTCTGTAGAAGTACCTGGGCCAATAACTATAATACCTGGATCTCAATATAATCTCTTCTTTCGTACTTTTATCTGGTAATATAGGACAACTCCTGGGAAAATATATAAAACATAATTGTTCATTAGTTAATATATATAATCTTGTTTCTGATGGCACTATTTTATATTTATGTCACGACATGAATGGCAAACGTACGTATATTATAAACATATATAATTTGTAAAAATATCTTTTTTCATATTTTGTTCTAAGAAAAATATTTTACATTTTCTAGGTATAGCAAAGTACGTTTCGTTAAAAGCACTTCTCAATGGTTCAAGTTTATCGCAAAGAAAAAGGGAAATAACAGCATCGCCACGTATATTTAAAACGATGATGTTAGATGAACAAAATAATTATTGGAAGCCTACACGTTATCATCGTTTGATAGTTGAAAATGAAGGCATATGTTCTTGGGAATCTTGTAAAGCTACTTTGAATTTAACTCTTCAAAAACAACCAAATCAAACATTGAAAATTTGGGAATATGTCAGCCCTAATTCGTTTGCCTCAAAACCAGTCTTTTTAATAACATCACAAGAACCATATAGCACTGGATTTGTAATAAAATTCTGGCAATGGCTCGATACAAATCCTTCGGTAACAGATACGATACCTAAAATCATTGAACGAAAACTAATCGAAAGAATATTAATCGTTTTCGTTAATTATACCGATGTACAAGTTATTAACGCTAGTCAAACTGATGTTACTCAATTATGTAATGATACTAACTGTCAACCAAATTTAGATTTACGAGTGAAATTTAATTCCATTGCAGCAGCAAATATTAATCAAGAGGGATATCCAAAATTGGTAAGTTATTGGTCTTCATATAATAACGAATTGCCTAGAATGCTCACGTCCAAAATTGAAATTGTTAAAATAGACTTAATAATATCTAATTTACCACGTCCTAATGTGCAGTTTTTTAAAATACTCCTTAACTATGCAAATTCTATGCATTCTACAAGCGTAGGTAAGCGATAGATACTTTATTAGTATATTTTGGCACATATCATATATAGTTATTTAAAATATGTTGCAAATCAATTGATTTTATGCTGTGAACGTAATTCGTATTTTCAAAATAACGAACATAGAATGATTGTGAAATTTATTTATTTTTTATTTATTTTTTTCTATCAAAAAAAATAGTAAACGAATAAAAAGAAATGATATTTTTCAATTGAATTTTATTTTCAATTACGAATTTAATTACAAAATAAAAGCCAGCTTATCGAATAATCATTTTACTAGAAAAAATAATAATAATGGTGCCTTGAAATGAGTTATTGACATTACACGTTGTATCTTACAACTGTATTATGCTTCGGTGCGCCGATATGGGTATAAAAAAGCAATATCATTGTATGTTATAGATTTTCAAAATATTATCATCGAATATTACGCTTATATATTACATAAAATTTTAAAGTTATTGTACGAAAAAAGAAGAAAAAGAGAAAAATCATACTATCGAACGTAGACATGAAATGCTCCTGAATTGTTACTTGTCACATATTGTCACAAAGTAAATTCATTTTTCAACTTATTCTCACTTATTATTACGTCTATTAATCTTCTACGTGCATATATGATAATCTACATAGAAGGAAACATCTGTTTTTCAAAATATTATACTCATTTCCATAATATAACAATATTAGCAACGAAATGTTATATATATGTACATCGCCAAATAACAACGTCGTAAATATATTGTTTTACAATAGGCCATACGTGGAAATTTCCGTTAGTTTTATACGGACGTCCTTCGAAAAAATATCTATTTACCATACGACTAATTATAACACGATATGCAATTTTTATCAATTCGGTTAAACATCCAATCACAAGTTTCATCAAAAGAAAAGTTAAAAAATTAAAGGCATATGTATGGAAGTATAAAAAAATTATTGAAGCTGTATGAATTTTGAATCGTATCTTTAATCTTCAGAAAATGACACGAATAATACTAATGTTAATTTTTTTTTTGTTTTCAACTCTTTACTCTTTGCAAGAAGGCCGATTGTAAAATAACTAATGAATAATTATTTTTGAATTGGAGAGTAACTATAAAAGTCAAAGTAGGTTGATGTCTAAATGTATTAACTTGGTGAACGAGCTAGGATCTGCTAGAGCATATGGTTCATATAGTAAAGGTTCATATGGTATGTAATAAATAGTCTCCTATTGTACATTTCGATGTACATTTTAGCCTAGTTACTAGTTTAACAAATCAATCGTAAAACATTTTAGCCTAATTACTGGACTAAAAAAAGAAGTATAAAGATAGTTGAAGTAACTCCTAATTTTGAAAGAAGACGAAGTACTAAATCTGCTGTTTAACTTTAATAAGTTCGAAATCCATGAATGTAAGACGATAAATTGAAAGAAATAACAAAATTGGTAATACCTTTTGAAAGTGAGTAGAGAATGGGAATGAGAGAACAATTAAAATACGAAAGAACAAGAAAACTATTTTGTAAAGATACTTTTTATCAATTTTATAAAAAAAAAAAAAAAAAAAAAAAAAACCCAAAATAATCCGTCCAATTTTTGTACAAAATTGTTGAATTAACAACATATATTATAGTAATAATAATGTAACATGATAAAATGTTTGTTTTTTATAATATAAGAATAATGGTCATTAAATACGACCCTTCGTTTTTCATAGCATAAATGTGATAATCATTATTAAAGTGAACTCATAAAGACAAATAAATCGAATTATTTTAAAAACATGCATGTATATATTTAACTTTCCAATATATATTTAACTTTCCATTTTACTTTCCAATTAATGTTTTGATATTTGATCATTAACAAAATTATTGTATTTTTATTGTTGTATTGTTATAGCTACCTGGATATTTCACATACGGGAAATATTAAATAATTTGTCTTCTACCGACCCATTTCCCATAAAAAAAAATATTTTCTAAGTACTCGAATTTTGTATAATCGTTCGTAACGGAAAGATTATCTTCAAGAATAATGGATGTAAATTTTATACGTTATTTATTTATATTTAATTCTTGCTTTTTGGCCATTGTTGGATTTATTATTATTATTGCTGAACCTTACTTACCTGTTTTAATTACACGTACATTTCACTATGGTAAACATGCAATTAAAACTCATCAACCAATAGTTGCAAAAGCCGAACTACCAAAAAGGTCAGTTATTGTATTTGATTAATTGCTTTTATAAATAATTTTTTCTTTAAATAAAACAAACTTTTTATTTCCTCTATTATATTCAATTTTAGATGGTTTAAACATTTCTATCTCTTTGCAACACCAGTTTCTGCTTGTTTTCTTATGCTATTTATCTATACATATTTTATGAACGGTACAATTCCTGAAATAATATATTGGTTATTAGATATATCACTTGGCAAATCTAGAAAAGCATTAAGTAAAGTATATTTGAATAAATGCACCATTTTTATTGCTATATTATATTATTTTATTTGTTTGTTATAATTGATGTATTATATATTTTGATTTTTAGTATCACCAGAATGTGGATTTTTAGCCATAACACTTTTTACTTTTCATTGTTGCAAAAGATTATACGAAACATATTATGTTACTGTTTTCTCTGATAAAAAAATTAATATCTCTTTTTACATAATTGGTTATGTACATTACACAGGAACAATATTAAGCATTATGGGTGAATCACATGGTTTCGTTCGAAGTAAGGTATTCTTCTGTAAAACGTAAATAATATATACTAATTGTTCTTTATTAAAACAAATCTCCTTACAGATTTCAAAGAACTAATTTATTGGCATAAATTAACGCTCTTACAAATAGTTTGTGCTATCATATTTTTATTATCTTCGTTGGTGCAATTACAAACTAATTCTATTTTAGCCGGTTTAAGAAAATCTAACAATAAAGTTGTCTTTAATGGTTATAAAATAGCACATGATGGTTTATTTAAATATTTGTCTGCACCGTTGGAATTTACAGAAATATTAATTTATTTAATGTTATCTGTTATTCTTTGGCAAAGTAATACATTTCATTACATTACACTTTGGGTTGTAATAAATCAAGTAAGTACATATAAAAATTTATATATATATATATATATATATATATATATATATATATATATGTGAGTAAGCAATTTTTAATAGAAATTAACTTTTATAGATAAATTGTGCTGTAATGACTCACAAATGGTATAAAAAAACTTTCCAAAATTATCCAAAGGAACGTAAAATTTTGATTCCATATTTATTCTAGATATAATTATTATTACTTCCTATTTCTAATATTCATAATATATTTATTAACTTAGAAATTTTGCAAAATAAAGAAATTTATTATTTTCATTTTACTAGACTCATGTAAACACACATATACGTCTTGATTATTGTTTCATTCCACAATTATATGATTTTTAAAATAACATTGAATAATAAATATTTATTTAACTAATAATTTACAATGAATTATTTTCTGTTTATACTATTTTTTCATGTAATAATAAATAAAATCAAAAATAGAACTAATAGATAATAAACATGTTAATATTTATTTTAGAACAAAATAATTACTGTAAAATATTTTTTGAATTCACCATTGTTACCACCAAATTCGAATGTGTTTCAATTGTCCGTTGATCTGCCCTCTATAGTCGTTAGATATGATATTGCATTCATATACTGTCTTCAGATTACTTCAAGTTTATTCGTGATAGGGAAGATCAGTAATGTTTGAATAATTTTAAAACATTAATTTTCAATAACTGCACTCAATATGAACTGATAAATGTTATTATGATATTGATAATCACTAAATTGGCAAATATAGATCAATAATTTTATTAAACCGCATCTTATCATGTCTGCCGAGCATCACAGTGGAAAAGGTTATACACCTCTTCCTCAGTGTATGAGCAATACTGACACCGAAGATGAAGATGAACATGTAACACAAAGAAATGATTTAACAAACAAACAAACTAACGATGAGAGAGAAACAACGGTGAGACCAATTATTTGAAAATTAATTGAAGAAAGTAATTAGGTCACTCACAAATCTCATATTTAAAACATCTCAAAATTTTATATTGAAGAACTTTTACACATACTCTAATTTTAACTCTGTATATCATAATCTTAGGAGCCTACCACAGTTCACGAACATGAAGCGTACTATCCACTGGATGAAACTAGAAATTTAGCAAATCGAACTAGGAATGGGCAAAACATAATTAAATGTTACAGAGATGATATACCTAAAATGATAATAGAAGGCAATACGCAAAATGATCTATGGAAACGCAGAGATATGTCTCCTCTTCGACGTTTCTGCTTAGTTATATCTATACTATTATGCATAGTAACAATACTTGTGTTTTTGTATGTTTTACCATGTGACACTATGATATGTCCACCAATTAATGAATCACAATCATCTGTTTCATGGGAGAAAACTTTATGGAATGTAGGTGAGTATGATTCGTAAAACAATATGTAAATAAACCAATTTTGTTGTTTGCAATAAATGATGTAATTAGAAACATCAAAATTTAATTATTATACTATTTCTGTAGAAGTACATGGGCCAATAACTATAATACCTGGATCTCCATATGATCTTATATTCTTACTTCGAGGTCAAGAATATAATGATAGCAATACAGATAATAGTTCCAAAACATCAAGGGGAAGTTCTATAGTATCTATACATGGAACCAGTGGCCTTTATTTATGGTTGGTTTGTTTAGAAAGAGTACCTACTAATATTGATTGCATATCCATTGACACTGACCGATCTGGAAAGACAGATTGCATTGTTGTTGGAGAACGTGGTTTATTAAAGAGTATAGATCCAACCACAGGCATAATACACTGGAATTCTGAAGTACATACATTTCCTAAATTACCAGTGATTTTACCAGATCTCAACTCTGATGGAATTGAAGATCTATTAAGTGTAGAATTAACTCAAGGAAATATATCTTCTCTCGTACTTTTATCTGGTAATACAGGACAACTCCTGGGAAAATATATAAAACATAATTGTTCATTAGTTAATATATATAATCTTGTTTCTGATGGCACTATTTTATATTTATGTCACGACATGAATGGCAAACGTACGTATATTATAAACATATATAATTTGTAAAAATATCTTTTTTCATATTTTGTTCTAAGAAAAATATTTTACATTTTCTAGGTATAACAAAGTACGTTTCGTTAAAAGCACTTCTCAATGGTTCAAGTTTATCGCAAAGAAAAAGGGAAATAACAGCATCGCCACGTATATTTAAAACGATGATGTTAGATGAACAAAATAATTATTGGAAGCCTACACGTTATCATCGTTTGATGGTTGAAAATGAAGGCATATGTTCTTGGGAATCTTGTAAAGCTACTTTGAATTTAACTCTTCAAAAACAACCAAATCAAACATTGAAAATTTGGGAATATGTCAGCCCTAATTCGTTTGCCTCAAAACCAGTCTTTTTAATAACATCACAAGAACCATATAGCACTGGATTTGTAATAAAATTCTGGCAATGGCTCGATACAAATCCTTCGGTAACAGATACGATACCTAAAATCATTGAACGAAAACTAATCGAAAGAGTATTAATCGTTTTCGTTAATTATACCGATGTACAAGTTATTAACGCTAGTCAAACTGATGTTACTCAATTATGTAATGGTACTAACTGTCAACCAAATTTAGATTTACGAGTGAAATTTAATTCCATTGCAGCAGCAAATATTAATCAAGAGGGATATCCAGAATTGGTAAGTTATTGGTCTTCATATAATAACGAATCGCCTAGAATGCTCACGTCCAAAATTGAAATTGTTAAAATAGACTTAATAATATCTAATTTACCACGTCCTAATGTGCAGTTTTTTAAAATACTCCTTAACTATGCAAATTCTATGCATTCTACAAGCGTAGGTAAGCGATAGATTCTTTATTAGCATATTTTGGCACACATCATATATAGTTATTTAAAATATGTTGCAAATCAATTGATTTTATGCTGTGAACGTAATTCGTATTTTCAAAATAACGAACATAGAATGATTGTGAAATTTATTTATTTTTTATTTATTTTTTTCTATCAAAAAAATATTAAACGAATAAAAAGAAATGATATTTTTCAATTGAATTTTATTTTCAATTACGAATTTAATTACAAAATAAAAGCCAGCTTATCGAATAATCATTTTACTAGAAAAAATAATAATAATGGTGCCTTGAAATGAGTTATTGACATTACACGTTGTATCTTACAACTGTATTATGCTTCAGTGCGCCGATATTGGTATAAAAAAGCAATATCATTGTATGTTATAGATTTTCAAAATATTATCATCGAATATTACGCTTATGTATTACATAAAATTTTAAGGTTATTGTACGAAAAAAGAAAAAAAAGAAAAAAATCATACCATCGAACGTAGACATGAAATGCTCCTGAATTGTTACTTGTCACATATTGTCACAAAGTAAATTCATTTTTCAACTTATTCTCACTTATTATTACGTCTATTAATCTTCTACGCGCATATATGATAATCTACATAGAAGGAAACATCTGTTTTTCAAAATATTATACTCATTTCCACAATATAACAATGCTAGCAACGAAATATTGTATGTATGTACATCGACAAATAATAACGTCGTAAATATATTGTTTTTCAATGGGCTATACGTGGAAATTTCCATTAGTTTCATACCCACGTCCTTCGAAAAAAAATCTGTTTACCGTACGACTGATTGTAACACGTGTGTAAATAAAGCGCGCAATTCTTGTGATCAAATCGAATAATACATTTAATCACATATTTCGTATAAAGAAAGGTTAGAAAATTAAATGCATACGTATGTAAGTATAAAAAAAAATTATTGAAGCTGAATGAATTTTGAATTGTGTCTTTAATCTTCAGAAAATAACACGAATAATTCTGATGTTAATTTTTCTTTTCTCTTTACAACTCTTTACTCTTTGCTAGGTGGCCGATTGTGAAGTAACTAATGCATAATTATCTTGGAGTTGGAGAGGGAGTATAAAAATGGGAGTAGTTTGATGACTGAGCGAATTAGCTCTGTGAGCGCGCTAGGATCTACTACATTACACGGTCGTTCACATGGTATATAGTAAAAAATCTCGCGGTGTACAGTGTTCGATGTACATTTTAGCCTAATTACTAGACTAACAAATCAATCGTAAGAAAAAAAAAGAAGTTTAAAGGTAGTTGAAGTAACTTCCAATTCGAAAGAAGACGAAATCCCGAATCAGCTGTTTAACCTCAATAAGTTCGAAGTCCATGAATGTAAGACTATGAATTGAATGAAATAACAAAATTATTAATACCTTTTGAAAGTGAATAGAGAAAGGGAAAGAGAAAAAAATTAAAATACGGAAGAACAAGAAAAAACGAAAAGGATGGCAGCTGGTAAACGAAGAGGAATCCATCCGAACACCGGAAGTGGGAATATTTTTATGGGAAACTCTTTTTCGGGAGGTAACACGAGATTGAGCCGTTTAAATTTCCGTCCGAGCTCAAATCAAGAGGATCGAGGTGGGACGAGACCGACCACGGCACCTAGTTCAATAGGTCTTATATTCGTTACTATGTTTTTACACATTTGCAAAAAATCTTTGCTCTTTGATACCAGATTGAAGGTAGCCATATATTGTGGCCTGATATTTACGATATCTCTCGTGGCTGATTTCGTGATTATGCCTAGGTCATACTTTTCCCGATCGGATAATGCGCTCAATCGGTATTTCGTTAAATGGGGATGGGGATGGCTCTTGATAGTAACCATCCCATGGGTAGTTCTTACGTCTCACACGCTTGGTTGTGGTCGCAGGTCGATTATATTGAGGCACTTAGCTCGTTTAGTTCTTGCTACATTGGCCTGGCTAACATGGATAAAATTATTTAATTACATTGAAAATAACTTTGGTCGTTGCGTTAACACGAAAGAGGCTCACTTGCAATTTAAAGTTAAATGTCTTCAAGCAGGAAAATTTTGGAATGGTCTCGATATATCAGGTCATAGTTTCATTCTTGTATACTCCAGCCTTATCTTAGCCGAGGAAGGTTCCTCTATGATTGGTTGGGAAGGTATAAAAGATTTAATAATGCGAGAAGAACACTCCAGAATAACACCGAATGAAACCAGCTTCGGTCCGCTTCGGAATCTCTCGGATAACGATTTAGAGTTCCTAAAAAAAGCTCACAATCTTTTTACACCCTATTTAAGAGCTCTTTTCGTCGTAATGACTATGCAACAATTACTTTGGGACGTTATGCTGGTCTCGACCGTCCTCTATTATCACATTATGATAGAAAAATTTCTTGGTGGTATTGCCGCCGTTCTAACTTGGTATATCACTTATCAATGGTGGTACAAATCACCAAAAATTGGCTTACCACCACCAGGTGATGGTCTTTTCAAATATAACGAAGTTAAACCTCAACATGACCTTAATGCAGCGCGAGCAAGACGTAGCACTTTGAATGGAACCAACAATAGGTTCATGGGTCTTCCTATTCGAATTAGTCAAGATAACCCAGAAAAAATTGTCTCAACGAATAGACAATCAGAAATTGAAACTCCTACACAGTATCGTGTGATCTGAATTAGTGCATTCTCTTTTAGGTTTTTTTATATCTTCTTTTCTCATTCTAAACACTCAAAAATCATCTCATGATTTTTAACTATTACCCTATTAATACTTACTACTTATTCAAAAATCTGTGAATATTTAAAAATCATGTACATAAAAATGTGTAAAGAATATTATGATATTTTTATGTAGGTATTATTCTTATAATCTCATTTTGATATGATTATAGAAATAATTGGCTAGTGTTTTCTTGCACATGATCGCATCATATCTTCGAGCTTTCTAATTTAGGAAATATCACAATAAAAAAATATATGGGAATGTTTAACTTTGTTACCTCTCTATGGACTGTTGATAAAAAATAACATTTCATTAAGGTATGATATAATAACTATTGTAACTACGAATACACTTACATAATTTACCTCAAATTTTACGATTTGTATTTAATAAGTTATATTTGTTGTTAATTTATTAACACAATGTGTTCATTTCTATTGGTTGGTAGAATAATTTTGTGGTAAGAATTGTAAATAGTTCACAACACGTTTTGTATAAAGAGAGAAAGTACAAAGTACATGTATATGCTTTTTATTAAACGAAAAAACCTTTCATTCAATTCATGCTAATGCATTTACCTTACTTTTCGTATTATTCTTGTTTGAAATTTTTTAAATTATAACAACTATTAGTGATCAGAATTTTTATAAATATATCGTTTGGATTCTTTCTTTTTTTTTTTTCTTCAAATACCATGCTTATTCAATGTAAATTTCTTTCCTTGCTTTTATCGAATTACTTTGAACAGAGTAAATATAGTAATTAGCAAAAAACATGAAGATATCGGTCGATCTACAAGATTTTTTACGATATCGTTTCATTACGTGTTTAACAATAATATGTATAAGATGCGCACTTTTTATAATAATAAATTTATCTCTTTTATTAAAACATATATATCTTTTCCTGACCAAAAAAATTGATAAGTAAATACTTCCTTTGATAATGATAATGATTTCTCGGTTTTCGAGCTCTAACTCATAAAAACCAAAATATAGGATAATATTTTTTGATCCTTTTTTACTGGCAAGAACAATTAAAACAAATAAACTTCGATCGATTTATTTGCAATATCAATCAGAGTTATTTTTGAGATACAAGCTTACGCCTTAAAAAAGAAAGTAAAAGAGAATATTTATACATTTTAGCGACAATTTATTGTCATATAATGACACTTATATTTTTTCTTTCTGAAATGATAAAGTATGTAATATGTATGTACGAAGAAATCTAGATAATCATAGTATAAGCAAAAATAAGTTACGCATTTATCTTTTATTCGCGATATACGATAGTATTCGTAGTATATGCGCTTCCGTATTTATTCTACAGTTCTTGCTTTATCTTCACTGAACATGTTCCTTTGAAAACTCTTACTGAGATTTTAGTAATAAAAAATGTTACTTAGAGATACAAGGGTACGATTTGAGAAATTAAGAAAACTAGAAAATCATGATTGATGATAATTAATTCAAATTATTAAACAAACAAAATTGAATAAAAAAAGAAATGAAAGATATTATCCAGATCGGATATTCGTCGTAAAAATTGAAAACATTGTTGATCCACGCACCATTCTGTGTTTCTATTATTATATGACCCCGATATTATATGGCTAATTATGCATCAATCCTAAGAAATATTTACTTATTTTATTAATTTAATATCGTATCAGTCGACGAAGCAAGAAACGAAGCGCAGCCTGGGTTGAGGACTTCAAACTTTTGACCTTTTCCGAGCAATCGCATCTTCCACAGCTTTAAGTTGCTTCAGGAGTTCTTCCCGACGTGAACTAGCCTTTTTAGCAGCTTTAGCAGCAGCAGCGGCAACACTCGCCTTGCTATCAATCAACGGCGGAGATTCAATGGTTCTTTTCTTTCCAGCCATTATCGTTGAACGATCAATTTTCTTCGTCGTTGAAATGTTGCTTGTAGGCTTCAAAGTAAGTTTTATCTGTTGCTTCGCGCCGCTAAGTTTCAAAGCATCTATAGCTTTGGAATCTTTACGAGTTAAAGGAGGTGTGGAATCTTTTCTTTTACGAGTTTCACTGGAAGACGATGAGTAACTTGATTCGGTCGAGTCGCTACTGCTACCGCTACTTTCCGAACCGGAACTACTATGAGAAGATCTGAAAAAGAATAATCCATTTTATTTTTATCTCATATTTAACAAATTAATGATTATTATGATAGTAAAATAAAACGAGAAATTGAAATGTAGATGAAAACGAAAAATTTCTCACCTAGACCTAGATCTACTTTTGATAACCTTAGCCACTGCAGCAGCAGCAATGGCTGCTTTATCTCTTGTTTTTTCATGATGTCGTTGATGAGACGATAAAGGACTTGGAGCTGGTGGATTCAAACCAGCACGTCGATGAAGCGTTCCAGTAGTAGGAGAGATGGAGCCTTTGGGTGGACGAGGAGAAGGAGCCGGTGGGTTCATTAGCATAGCACCACGCTGTGGTGCCCCAGAAGGAACGGCTGCGGCGCTTGCAGGTGGTGAAGGGACCGTTGCTTTCCCTTTTCCACCGCTGCGGGTTCTAGAGGGAGGAGTAGGTGAACGGGACCTGGATAGGGAGTCGTAAGAACTGTAGCTAGATCGGCTCGAGCTACGGCTAGAACTAAAAAAATTATACTCTTACTCGTTCTTATTTCAATTCGTAATTTCGATGGTCTTCTTTTTCTTTTGTTTCTTGTACAATTCTATAACGTATTTACCTATATCCAACCAGAGATGGAATCAAGAATAATACAAAACATAATTGTTCCAGAACCTCGAAAAAACTATTCCACTTTGATAAATACCAAGCTAGTTTAATGACATATATTAAACCTGATCCCATCTTTGTTATTAACCTAATTCTAATTACTACTAATTATAACTAGACAAATTTTTTTTCATAATTACCGTCGTTGAAAACTAAATCTTACCTGGTCGATGAGTAAGACGATCCGGAGGAATAAGATTGTCTACGAGGACGCCTGGACGAGGTCGTATTACGGCGC